CTGTCGTCATTCGTGAATACTTTGAACGATGTTTTGAGTTACCTGAGTTTATTTTCCTCAGTTGTACTCCTATAACCTGTACAACACAATGAGTGGCCATTCATCAGCCTGCAAAACTTCTGTGTTGTTCCGCTGATTTTCTTTTCGACCTCTTTGCGTGCTGCAGCCAATGTATTAAGTGCATGATAGAGGTTAGTATGAGGGATAGTAAACATAACAGAGCCAACGGAAATAGTAGTTTGAACACATTCAACTGCGATTATCCGCCTTCTGTGTTCTGACTTAGTCCATAAAAACTATTATCAACAATCATCACCTGCTTCGCCTAGGCTGTTATATCGTAATTTGTTACAAACCAACGAAACAAGTGTATACTACTTTTGCATATTCCCAGGAAGGGTAAGGTCGGAAGCTTAAATCATAGTAATTTATAAATTAAAACAAAGGAGCGAACGGGGCATACCACCACTCAATGGCGGCACGAAACTAATAAATCGGAAGTTTTATATTCATGTTCTGTACCAAGTAACCGACAGTGTCATTGACGCTACAACGGGCAAATGTGCCAGAAAAATAAGCATTGAGCATACCGCTAAGTTCATCTGCTGATCTTCGACTTTCATTTCCGCCTGCGACAGTGGCGCCAACCGGCCATCTAAAACAGTTAGTAGAAGAGAAATTAGAAACCTTAAATACCAGCATAAGACCAGTCAGCCACTCGGTTATATGGTTCCGTGATTTGCCATTTTTTGGAATCAGCGTTAGTCGGTTTCCGAAAATTGAACAGAAATTTAAGCAATTATCTTTCATTCAAACGAAATAATTACTGTCTGTTCCAGAACTTAGCGCAGCGAACAGATGAAACTTGAAGTCTTTGCGCAGAAAGAAATATACGAGACATTACAGTTTCGCCAGTAGTATTCAGGTACGTTATCACTTACAACGCTTTGACAAATTTTGTCCCGTTTTAGGGATACAACTTTTAAATTCATGGTTCACACCTGGTATTGACTCACGTTCAACTACCACCATTAATAAGGCGTTGTTAAACATTTTTCGACTTTCTACTGTTTACAGGTTTCCAGGTTATGCAGTAGATATCGTCAATCCGGCAACCGATCAATATCAACGATTCGGCCCGTGTCTCACGGGCCCTCTTCAAGGTAGATTGGTGGTAAATTCCTGAACGTGGTTGGCCGTCCGCTGTAATCGATAGTTTGGAGCCAGAAGGCAAGCTTTCGGCCCGTGCTTATGGTTAAACAATTTTTTGTGCTACAAGGGCAACAGAGCAAAACCAAATCGGCGCAGCGTTTGCATCTTTCTCAAGATTGACGTTATCACAGGGCTGGATGATTAATGTCACTTTTATCCGCTTGTTTAGCCAGTATGCGTTTTTGATGATGCCGCTGCACTCAGACCATCCGGGGAGAATGTTCCGGCTATTCCGCATGTTGCACAAACCCGTAGGTTTTCTCGCGTTGTTTCTTGACTTTGGTCTATGCTCCAAATTTTGATGGAGAATCTGACATCTTCTTTGAGGAAGTGCAGTGTGCTCTGTCCGCAGTGTCGAATACAGAGTCCTTCATACACATGGACGATTTTAATACGATTCCGAGTAGACGCTGAAAAGTGGAACGGTGTGATTGGAGAAAACGGCCTTAGCAACCACATCAATAATGACACGAAGTTATTGTGGTTTCGCACAAATAACGGACTGTTCATTATGAACACTTTCTTCGAGCATCGAAGAATGCATCAATTTATCTGGTACCTGGAGCTTGTGCAGAGAGGTCGATGATTCATATGATAATCATATCGTCCGAAGTAAGACGCTCAATAATAAATGTTCGCGTTAAGAGAGGATCAGAGCTATCAACCGATCACTACTGTTGACACGCTGCTTTGTAAGAAACTGAGTACCATGCGAACGATCCGGTGACAGAAGCAATCAGAGAATGAAGTGCGAAAAATTATCTTCGGAGGACACGAGATCGAAATTTGCAAACAACATTGCACGACGGTTTGAACAGATCCTGGTGATCACAACCCATGTGGAAACCCAATGACAGCTCTTTACGACCTGCAAACTGGAGGCTGTCGGCGAATTCTGCGGATTTAAACGAGTTCGTCTCCGTCTGGAGGTCAGAAAGGATCTTCCTGGTGAACAATAGAGGTACAATTCGCAGTTAAAGAGTAGGCAGCGTTCAAGAAATAGCTTGGAAGCTAGGAGCCTTCTACTCCAGTGCGATATGACGAGGCCCGCAACGAGGAAGCGAAAGGAGCGGCGTATGCTAAAGCTGGCTCCGAGTTGAAAAGAAGGGCGGTGTGAAAGACTTGAAGTGCAGACTGGACACCCTCATGCCAAGGATGATGACACTCTTCGGCGATGGAGAAAGTTTTCTGAGGAACTCCTTCATCCAGAGCAACCCCAGGAAGACTTGCCTCTAGCGCAGCAGAAAACGGATATTACCATCCGTGTAGATGAAATT